CATCGCGCACTCTGGGGCCATGCGAACATTATTCCCGACCCATGCGAACCCATGCTAACATTACCCCCGACCCGAACCTCCTCGGTTGGGTATTCGTTTTGAATAGGGCACTGCTCGCGCGTCCTTCCTTCCTTCCTCCCGCCTCCTCCCTCCTCCTCCCGCCTCCCTCTTGCCTCTTCTTGCCTTGTGCGGACCTCGCCATCCCTGGGGGGCTGCGATCTGCAGGACTGTCGCCACTTTCGAGGGCTGCCAGCAGAGTGGGCACTCACCGCGGATGAGAATTAGACCTCGCCATCCATGGGGGGCTGCGATCTGCGAAACTGTCGCCACTCTCGAGGGCTGCTGGGGAGGCCAGCAGAGTGGGCTCTCACCGCGGATCAGAAGTAGACCTCGCCATCCCTGGGCAGTGGGGCTGCGATCTGCGAAACTGCCGCCACTGTCGAGGGCCGCTGGGAAGGCCAACAGAAAGGGCACTCACCGCGGATCCAAATTAGACCTCGCCATCCCTGGGGGCTGTGATCTGCGAAACTGTCGCAACTTTCGAGGGCTGCTGGGGAGACCAGCAGAGTGGGCATTCACCACGGATCGCAAGTAGACCTCGCCATCCCTGGGGGGCTGCGATCTGCGAAACTGTCGCCACGTTCGAGGGCTGCTAAGGAGGCCAGCTGAGTGGGTACTCAGACTCACCGCGAATCCAACGTAGACCTCGCCATCCCTGGGGCTGCGATCTGCAGGACTGTCGCCACTTTCGAGGGCTGCTGGGGAGGCCAGCAGAGTGGGTACCCACCGCGGATCAGAATTAGACCTCGCAATCCCTTTTGGGAGGGGGGCTGAGATCAGCGAAACTGTCGCCACTTTCGAAGGCCGATGGAGAGGCCAGCAGAGTGGGCGCTCACCGCAGATCAGAAGTAGACCTCGCCATCCCTGTGGGGCTGCGATATGCGAGACTGTCGCCACTGTTGATAGCTGCTGGGGAGGCCAGCAGAGTGGGTACTCAGCGCGGATCAGAATTAACCTCGCCATCCCTGGGGGGGGCTGCGATCTGCGAGGCTGTCGCCACTGTCGAGGGCTGCTGGGGAGGCCAGCAGAGTGGGCTCTCACCGCGGATCCAAATTAGACCGCGCCATCCTGCGATCTGCGAGGCTGTTGCCAGTGTCGAGGGTTGCTGGGGGGGCAGCAGAGTGGGGCTGCGATATGCGAAACTGTCGCCACGTTCGAGGGCTGCTGGGGAGGCCAGCATCGTGGATACTTGCCGCAGGCTCGAATTAGACCTCGCCGTTCCTGGGGGCTGCCTTTCCCCAACGACTCAGGGGTTCAACTTGTGAATGCTTTTCACCAAGCCCTTATCCCTTGATCGGGGACCCGCGAGCCTCCCGAATGCCGTTTGCAGAAGTAGATCCTTCCATGCCACGTCATCACCCCGTATAAAGTCTCCCAAACTACTCAGATCCTGCGTTGCGCAGGGGTTGGGTATGTCGCCAGGGTTGTTTATAATGTAGTACCAACGTTTTTCGCGAACAGGTACTGCTTCGAGGGGAGCCAACGAAGTTTAACATCATATCGTCGCCCAGTACTCCCCACGACCTGAACTTTTTTCCAGGGTGGCGCCACACACACACACACCTCAAAAAAAAAGTTTTGGAGGGGGGGTATTCGGCCAGAGCCGCCAGCCTCTGCGCGGGGCCTCTCAGCTCGTGGCGGGTTTCTATCGAACCCCGAGCCCACGGATTAGAGCTCAGCGCCGATGGGCTGAGGGCATAGGAAGTCGGGAGGGGGGGGCAGCGGAGCCACGATGAGGCACGCGGCCACGCGCTCAGGGCTGGGCGTAGGACTTGACGCTGAGGGCGGAGGCAATAGCAGCTCGGAGCATCTGGTCCATGGCTAAGGGCGGGGGCTCAGGCTTGGCACAACCCCTCGGATCAAGGGCTCCCAACTTCGCGCTTCGCGCTCCGCGAAGCGCGAAGCGCGAATAACTTCGCGCTCTCGCGCCGCCCCCCCAAAGGGAGAAAAGGAGGACGAGGAGGAGGGGGAGAAGGAACGAGGACCGCGAAGCGCGAACCGCGAATAACTTCGCGCCCTCGTGGGAGCCCTTGCGGATTGAGGACATATCGTTTTGACCGCGCCGCCCAGGACCCGGCGGCTTCCTGGGGCGGGGGGGGGGGGGCAGACGGAGGACGCCCTGGGGCCCAGCGCTCAGGGCCTCGGGTGTCGGCGGCGTGGTGTGAGCCTAGGGTTAGGTCGGGCATGTCCTCCTACAGGGGGATTTTGGGCGAAAAATAAAAAAATAGCCCACATGCGCCAAAAATGTGCAAACATGATTCACAAATCGTCCCCAGGCTATATGTTTACTATGTTTGAACCTTCCTCCTGTAGAGGGACAGGCCGACTTAAGCCTAGGGCTCAGGGGTTTGAGGCGTCGGGGCTGTCGGGGTCAGATGAGGGCTGTCGGGCTAGAGGCCTGGGCCCACTGCCTGCAGCCAGAGCTCACCGGTCTGGGCTGGGGGGCCTTACTAGATGCCAAGGGGCGCGCCCAGCGGGCGCAGCCTGGAGGCAATCTCAGCCAAGGCAGCCCAAAAAACTTCGACCCTTGATCCTCCTCATCCTCCTCCTCCTCCTCCGCCTCCTCCTCCTCCCCCTCCCCCTCCCCCTCCTCTCCTCCTCCTCCTCCTCCCCCTCCCCTCCCCTCCCCCTCCCCTCCTCCTCCTCCTCCTCCTCCTCCTCCTCCTCCTCCTCCTCCTCCTCCTCCTCCTCCCTCCTCCCTCCTCCTCCTCCTCCTCCTCCTCCTCCTCCTCATCCTCCTCCTCCTCCTCCTCCTCCTCCTCCTCCTCCTCCCGCTCCTCATCCCCCTCCTCCTCCAGGCCCCCAGCTCGCCCGCATAACATCGACACGGTCCAAACTACACGCGGCACGAGGTAATCACAAAACAAGCGATGAACGAACCCAAACTAATGCCCCGCCCAGGGGGGCGCAGTGCGATGGCGGGATAACTTTAATAAGTGCATGTTCACCGTCTTTTCCTCTCCTGAAAAATTATGGCTCCGAACTCGGACACAGAAGGTGGAGACAGTGATGATGATGAGGAGGAGGAGGAGGAAAAGGAGGAGGAGGAGGAGGAGGAGGAGGAGGGGGAGGGAGAGAAGGGAGGAGGAGGAGGAGGAGGAGGACGACGAGGAGGAGGAGGGGGAGGAAGAGGAGGAGGAGAAGGGGCGAGCTTCACCCGGGACGGCCTCAAATCGCGGATAGGGCGGCACCATGATCGCGAATCAAGTCTGATAAACAATTGAGCCTCAGCCGCCTTCTTCTCATTGCAGGGGATTGTGGGCGTGGGGTCGCGAAGCGGTCGAGATGTTCCCAGCTTGGGACACCTGAGTCGGGCCGCGAGGACTCATGTTGACAGTAGGACCGCGGGGGGGAGGGAGGGGAAGGAAGGAGGGAGGATGGGGAAAGAGTGGGGAGGACGTGAGGGGAGAGAGGGGGGGGAGAAGACGAACAGGGAAGGAGGATGCTCGGGGGGGGGGAGGCGGCGAAGGGTGTTCAGAGGGGAGGGGCGAAGAAGGGAGGGCAGGGGGGAGGGGGGGGCGTCAGCAGCCTCTCGTCAGACCCTCTCGTCACCCTTCGCCCTCCACTCCCGAAACTCATCCTCCTCCTCATCGTCATCACCACCACCATCGTCAGCATCATCAGCATCATCAGCAGCAGCATCATCAGCATCATCCGCATCGTCATCAGCAGCATCAACATCATCACCATCAACAGCAGCAACATCATAATCCTTATCAGCATCATCATCATCATCATCATCACCACCACCACCACCACCATCATCATCATCATCATCATCATCATCATCATCATCATAATCATCATCATCATCATCATCATCTTCATCATCATCATCATCATCATCATCATCATCATCATCGTCATCATCAGCAACAGCATCATCATCATCAGCATCATCATCATCATCATCAGCAGCATCATCAGCATCATCATCATCATCATCATCCTCATCATCATCAACATCATCATCATCCTCAGCATCAGCAGCATCATCATCATCGTCGTCATCATCGTCATGATCGTCATCATCATCAGAAGCAGCAGCAGCATCAGCAGCATCATCTTCATAGTCATCACCATCATCTGCATCATCGACTACATCATCAACGTCAGAACAATAAACGGCGTCCGCATCGTCATTACCATCAGCTGCATTCTCATCAGCAGCAGCATCGTCATCAGTATCATCATCAGCAGCAGCATCATCATCACCATCACCAGCATCATAGCATAATCATCATCAGCCTCATCATCAGCGGCATCATCAGCATCGACAACAACAACATCATCATCATCATCATCATCATCATCAGACGCAGCAGAAGCAGCATCAGCAGCATCATCTTCATTATCATCACCAGCATCAGCATCATCGACTACATCATCTACATCAAAACAACAAACGGCGTCCGCATCGTCATTACCATCATCTGCATCCTCATCAGCAGCAGCATCGTCATCAGTATCATCAGCAGCAGCAGCATCATCATCACCATCATCAGCATCATAGCATAATCACCATCAGCCTCGTCATCAGCAGCATCATCAGCATCATCAACAGCATCATCATTATCCTCGTCATCGTCATCCTCATCAGCAACATCAATATTGGCATCATCAGCAGCAGCATCATCACCATCGGCGGCGGCAGCATCATCATACTCAGCATCAGCATCGTCATCATTATTCCTCCTCGTGCTCCTCATCCTCCTCTCTTCCCATCCTCGCGCACATCCTCCTCCGCCTCATAGGACTGGCCAGCGCCACACAAGCGTTGCCTGCAGGCGTGCGGCGGCTTGCGCCAGCGACGGGTACGCGTGCGCCGACGGCTCAATCCACGCACCGAAGCAGGCTTCTGTCGTGGCATTCCGCGGTGCTACACGCGCGTGGCACAGCCCCAGCTGGCTGGCAGCAGCTGCTTGCCCCAAGCCCAGGGC